ACCTTTTAAAGTGCAAAGTCTGGAATAGACACTTCTCTAAAGAAGACACCAGATGGCCAACATGAAAAGATGCTCAACGTTGTTCCTCATCAGGGAAATACAAATCAAAACCACACTCAGATACCGCCTCACGCCGGTCAGAGTAGCTAAAATGAACAAATCAGGGGACTATAGATGCTGGAGAGGATATGGAGAAACAGGAACCCTCTTGCACTGTTGGTGGGAATGCAAACTGGTGCAGCCACTCTGGAAAACAGTGTGGAGGTTCCTCAGAAAATTAAAAATAGACCTACCCTATGACCCAGCAATAGCACTGCTAGGAATTGACCCAGAGGATACAGGAGTGCTGATGCATAGGGGCACTTGTACCCCAATGTTTATAGCAGCACTTTCAACAATAGCCAAATTATGGAAAGAGCCTAAATGTCCATCAACTGATGAATGGATAAAGAAATTGTGGTTTATATACACAATGGAGTACTACAGGGCAATGAGAAAGAATGAAATCTGGCCATTTGTAGCAATGTGGACGGAACTGGAGAGTGTTATGCTAAGTGAAATGAGTCATGCAGAGAAAGACAGATACTATATGTTTTCACTCTTATGTGGATCCTGAGAAACTTAACAGAAGCCCGTGGGGGAGGGGAAGGAAAAAAAAAAGAGGTTAGAGAGGGAGGGAGACAAAACATAAGAGACTCTTAAAAACTGAGAACAGACTGAGGGTTGATGGGGGGGTGGGAGGGAGAGGAGGGTGGGTGATGGGCATTGAGGAGGGCACCTGTTGGGATGAGCACTGGGTGTTGTATGGAAACCAATTTTGACAATAAATTTCATATTTAAAAAAAATAAATAAAGTGCAAAGTCTGAGGGAGATCCTAAGATAGTTGGGCCATTAACCCCTTAACTCCCTACAGTTCATGTGCCAGACTGTATCCCATTTGACCCTCACAACACTCCTGTTAAGAAATTCTTTTTAATTTACTAATTTTAAAAATTGTGGTAAAATACGTAACATTAAATCTACCCACTTGACCATTTTTAAGTACACAGTTCAGTAGCGTTAAGTACATCCACATTGTTGTGAATGTCGGGAACCCACATCCTGTTGCAGAATTGAAACTCTGTATCCGCCTAGCAATAACTCGTTTGGTCTTCCCCCACCCCAGCCCCTGGCAAATACCCTCCTACTTTCTGTCGCTGCAAATTTGACTACTCTAGGCACATCATATGAGTGGGATCATGTCGTCTTTGTCCTTTTGTGACTGCCTTATTTCACTTTGCATACTATCCTCAAGTTTCATCCATGTTGCAGCATGTGTCCTTCCTTTTCAAGGCTGTATAATATTCTGGTGTATGTATATATCATATGCTGTTGATCTGTTCATCTTTGATGGACACTTGGGTTACTTCCACCTGTGGTGTTATAAACAATGCTGCTACGAACATATAGGTGTACTGATACCTTTTTTGAAACTCTGCTTTCAGCTTTTTTGGGTATATACCCGGATGTGGAATTGCTGGTTCGTATGGTATTTCTATTTTAGTTTTTTGGCACAATCACCAAACTCTTTTCCACAGTTGGCTGTGCCACTTTACATTCCCACTGACACTGCACAAGGGTTCCAACTTCTTCACATCCTTGCCAACACTTGTTATTTTCTCTTTTCTTTTTTAAAAGGAGTAGCCATCCTGATTGGCGTGAAGTGCTATCTTACTGTGGTTTTGATTTACTGGTTTGTTTCTTTTAAATCACCATTTTGCAGAAGAGCAAGCTGAGGCTTAAAATAGGAAGTAACTTGCCCAAGGTGATCCAGCTCATCTGTAGAGAGACCAGCCTGCACCATATTCTTTTCTTGGGGCAGTTCTGGAGCTCAGCAGCTGAAGCCCACAGACCTGGAATGTGGCCCCTGCTGCACCCAAGCACCCATCTGTCCAGCCAGCCTGTCCCCTCCCTATCCCCACCCTCCAAATATCTGTCAAGTATCTGTCAGCATGGTGGAAGGGGTGAGCGTGAGGACTCTGGAGCCTGACTGTATGGTCTGAGGCGTGGCTCTGCAGCTCACTAGCTGTAGAATTGCAGCAAGTCATGAACCCTGCTGTGCCTCCTATTCCATATGCACAAAAGGTGCGCGATCAGAGCGCCACTTCTCAGGGTGGCTGCAGGGTAATTCCAGGGAAGGCTGCCTGCCACAGCACACGCAGAGAAGGCAGCGCCAGCCTGGAGGTTCAACCAGGACACAGCATCGGGGTCCCTGTCCTCCTGTAGGTCACTGTGCAGTGTGGGGCACAGCCATTAACTAAATATTTACACCAACCAGTGTCAGGGGAGGTGTGATAAGTGAGTGCCCGGAAGGAGAAGGGCCAATGAGAACCAGTCTTTCTTACAGTCTCTTCCCCCCAGTTCTACTCCTGCCAGGCTGCCATTTATATAACAGGTAAAATAGCAACTCAACTCTGGGGAATACGCCACAGAGCTAAAGGGAAAAGGTTAAAAGACTGAGTCTGGCATTTAAAATTCTTGGCTCATCTGGGTACCCCAAACTAATAATCTCCTTTAACTCTTCGAGTGGAATCAACAGTCTTTTTCTTTTAGGAAAAGAAACCTGTGAACAGGTTTTAGGGGTTTTTTTTTTTATTTAAAAAAAAGTTCTCAAGTGACGCCTTTTAGGAGTAGAAGGACAACATGGAGGGAAAATTTGAGAGCTGAGAGAGGTTGTCATCTGATAGACACATTAGCTCTGTGAGGACAGAACTGTGTCTGTGGTTCATCACTGTATACCCAGGGTGTGCAACACCCATTTTCCCTGGCCTGCAGTAGATAAGTCAGTATTTGTCGGATGAAAGAGTTCAATCCAACCAATTTTTCAAGCAGCTATTATGTAGCAGGCGCTACTATTATTGATTAGTGTTAATTAAAACATGTGCTTTTGGCGTCCAGCATGAACAATCTAAGCCTTACAACTTGGAGGTAGGAAGTATTATCCTCATGTGAGCAAAGGAAGAACCAGAGTCTCAAGGGTATTGAGTGTTTTGCCTCGATTCTCATATCAGTAAATGGCAGTTAGGATTTGAACCTTCATCCATCTCTTGCCACGGCTGAACTCACTTGACCTCTATGCTCTGCTTGCCTCCCTGTGCATCATTAACCCCTATTTGTGTAGATCACCCTGCCTTGAGAAAAAAGAAATGAGAGTTGATCCTTTTCCTCAGTTGTTCAGAGGAGTGCACATTTTGCTCCACCCACAAAGAATCACAAAATCCTAGGGCAAGGAGAAAACGTGGAAGGTTCTTCTCTCAGTGCTGAAGGCTTGGGTGGAATTTGCAGAGGCCCCTCCCAGGAGCTATAAGTAGCTCTTTGGTGAGTACAAAGGGCGGAGTCCGCCCTGACTGGCCTGCCTGCGGTCATTGCTGGCCTTGCTAATTAGATCCCCTTTCATCTACTGAGCTCCAAGAGCTTTTACCCACATTAACCTGTTAATCTTAGCCCCATCCTTCTGATGCAGATGACAAGCATAATTAGGTCTAGTCAGGAGACAAAACAGAGCCAAGAGACAGCGGCAGAGCCAGAAGAAAACACAGGGTAGCTTACTCCTCCTGCATTCACTGTCTCCCCTGCTGACAGAAGTGATTTCAGTTGGCCTTGAACTGGCTTCTGCCTGCTTTTCTGTATCCCAGTTTTGAAAATAAAGCGTGGTCCGTTTGAATCTTAATGCACAAGTGTGGATGTGCAAAAAATATCACATTTCTTCTTACCTTTAAGTTCAGCTCAGTCTACGTTGGGTCCGTCTCTCTGGGCTAATGGGAGATTTGTCTCAACTTTTATTGGTACTAAAGGCACCCACATCCTACAGAAGCGGTATCAGTTCTAGGGTCCATAGTACAGAAAAACTTCTTAGCAGTCCCTGCCTGCAGTCTTGGATCCACACTGGCAGGTGCCAAGATGTCCATGATCTATGCCTTGAGGTGCCAGTGCTCTGTTGCACAGTATCCCGGGTCAGTAACATTGGCCAAATGTTGCCTGGCTGGGCAATGATCATTCCCTGTGGTTCTGTAAGGAAATGGGGTTTGGGTCCCGCTTGGTGGCACCGTCATATTTCTATCACCTCTTCACCTCAGAGATTCCACCTCTACCGCTTAAGGCCCTCCCATCTCTCCTTCCCTTCTAGGATGTACTGTGTAAATCTCAATGAATTTGGCTCTTGCAAAAGCCAGGAAAGAGAACTGTCTCCCAGTGGCTTTGGCTCAGCGGATGCCCCTGAAGCTGGAGTTGCATGTCATCGTGGGGAGGGGAGGCCAGAGACCTAGATTTCTCATTCTCTTCTATTTTACAGCAGAGAAAACAAAACATAGCTAATATGCCTTTTAAACTTTCCCACCATCGAAACAACGTACCAGACAGTTTGATTGTTAGGGCTGCCATAACAAAATACCACAGATGAGGGGTCCTAAACAACAGAAATTCATTTTCTCACAGCTCTGCAGGCTAGAAGTCCAAGATCAAGGTGCTCAGCAGGTTTGGCTTTTTCTGAAGCCCGCCTTCTTCATTTGCGCATGGCTGCCTTCTCACTGTGTCTTCACGTGGTCTTTTCTGTGTATGCACATCCCTGATATCTCTTTCTGTGTCCAAATTTCGTTTTCTTGTAAGGACATCCATCATATTGGATTGGGACCCACCCTGATGGCCACATTTTAGCTTAATCACCTCTTGAAAGACCTTCTCTCCAAGTACAGACACATTCTGAGGTACTGGAGGTTGGGACCTCAACATATGAATTCTGGGGGGACATAAATCAGCTCATAACACAAGGGTTAAGTGTGTTTAAAAAAACTTCCCAGTCTACCCTTTTGTCCTCTGTAAGTAGCAATCCCTTCCTGTCTGGCTTTGGAATCTACAGACCTGGGTTCAAAGCCCTGCTTCAACATTTCTTAGCTGTGTGGCTTTAGGCAAGTTATTAATATACCTAGGCTTCAGTGGCCCCAGCTATAAAATGGAAATAGCAATAGTATAAACCTCGGAAAGCATTTCAGGGATTAAATGAGATAGTAAAATACTCAGCATAGTGATCCAAACACAGAAAGTGCTCCATAATAAAAGCTATCCCCCATACACCCTTCTCCGATTCAGTCTTCCTCTGCCTGAAGTCTTAACACCAAAGCTACTTTCTCCAGGAAGTCCTCCCTGATGTTCCAAGCCTGGGTTTAATAACCTCTTTCATATTTCCCCAATGCTAACATTTACCACACTGGGCTGTAAAGGTCAGTTGAAGTGTCTGTGTTCCTCAGCGCAGGGAATCCTGAAGCAAGTCCGCAGTCTCCTCTGTCTTCCTCACAGTTGACTGTTAGAGGTTGGCATGTCAGTTATTAACAGCTGTGAGGTGCTGAGAAAATCTTACAGAAAAGAAGGAAGGGAGGGCTGGGTGGATGTGGGGGAGTGAGGCTACCTTAGAGTGGTAAGGTCACTCACCTCAGTACCCTTGACCTTTCAGCCACATAATTCTTTTGTACGGGGGCCGCCACGTACGTTGTAAGAGGTTAGCAGTATCCCAGGCCTCTGCTCACAAGATGCCAGCAGTACCAGTCTCTCAGCTGTGATAACCAAAAGTGTCTCCAGCCACTGCCTATTGTCTCCTTGGAGGGACTGGGGGAGGAGAGGGGAGATGAAAACATAGCCCCATTTGAGAACCACTGCCTTAGATCAGTGGTTCTTAGACTTCAGCATACCTCAGAATCTCCTGCACTGGCATTTCAGAAACGCAGATTGCTGGCCCTCTGCTGGGGTCTGAGTGTATCCCCATAAAGCATATGTGTTGGAATCTAACCCCCAGTGTGCTGGTATTAAGAGGTAGAGACTTTGGGAAGTAATTAGGTCATGAGACCAGAGTCTTCATAAATGGAATTTGTGCTCTTATAAAAATGAGACCCCACAGAGCTCCCAAGCCCTTTTCACCATGTAAGGATAAACACGAAATCTGCAACCCAGAAGAGGCCCCTCCCCCAACCGTGCTGCCACCCTGATTTCTGACTTCCAGCCTCCAGAATTGTGAGAAACACTTTTCTATTGTTAATAAGCTACTCAGACTATGGGTATTTTGTTACAGCAGCCAGAATTCACATCCCAGAATTCCTGATTCAGTATGACTGGGGCAGAGTCTGAGAATTTGCATTTCTAGCAAAGTCCTTCTGGTGCTACTGGTCTGGGCCACTTGGAACCCACTGCCTTAGAGGTGCCATAGCACTGGTCTCGGGAACATAAAAGACATGTGCTGAATACTTTTGGCCTGTGACTAAGTCTGGCAAGGTAAAGAGAATTCCCCTGACTTGGGTTCTCAAGGCACACATTTAAAAAAAAAAAAAAAATGTTTATTTATTTTGAGAGAGAGAGCAAGCTCATGGGAACAGGGGAGGGGCAGAGAGAGAGGAGGAGAGAACATCCCAAGCAGGCTCCATACTGTCAGTGCAGAGACCAACGCAGGCCTTGTTCTCACGAACCGCAAGACCATGCCCTGAGCTGAAATCAGGAGCTGGACGCCTAACCGAATGAGCCGCCCAAGGACCCCACGAGGAACACATTTACTCAAGAATTTCCTCAGGCTGCAGACAGCAGGGAGACTGCAGAGACAGAGAGAAGGAGGGAGAAAAAGAGAGGCCTCAAGTCAGGTCAGCCTGTGTGTCAGAAGACGCAGCTGGGCTAAGGCAAGGTGGTGGGGAGGGGCCACTGCCTCCACGGTCTTACTCAGAATCCAGCATTCACCAATATTAGTTCAAGACAGATTTACTGAGAGCCAGCGAGGTGCCAGGCACTCTTGTGGGTGTGGGGATGCATGAAGGACCTAATAGAAAAAAAATCCTTGCCCTCATGGAGCTTATATTCTGTGATGGCTCAGGAAAGGATGATACTGAAAAATTGGGCAACGTGATAGAAAGCAATAGGTTCTGTTGTAAAAATCAATCAGGTACGTGGGGCCAGTGGTGGGAAGGGGGAAGGTGGCTAGCAGTAGTGTACTGGTAAATGTTGCCTAACTGGCTTTCTGGGGGCAGAAATGTCCCGATTCTGTAGTAGTGGCCAATTTCAGTGGTGCCATGGAAGATTGTAAACTATGAATGTGAGGTCATTAAATAAGAAATTAGGAGGAAGTACACATAGTAGCACAACATTACATAGTATTTCTACCTTATGGGCACCATACACATAAATAACTGAGTATATATACTGGTAAAATGTAAAATAATTAAGAAGGGATAGCTTTGGGTATCTTGAACCTTGATGTCTAATACAGTTAATTCAATTGTAAGTTTATGTAATTTGACTCACATTAATGATTGTATATACTAACTGGCTTGCAGATTTCCTGAAAATTTCACCGTCTACTCTCGCGAGCTGGCGGTAGCTGGCTTCAGCTTACCGCTGGTAGTTAGGGAAGGTCTTGTTGAGACAGCGACATTCGAACGGAAACCTGCAAGAGGTGAAAGAGTAAGGCATGTGGATATCTGGGAACGAGCACTCTGTGTCCTTCCTGGGCAAAGTGGCGTGTTGGGCCTGGTGTGTCCACATGGCCAGGCCCTTGCACAGGTTGACCCCTGGGCCAGGGAGCGTCTGCCCTCACTGCTGTGCCTAGTGATAGTCTTTAGGGCCTGAGCTCACAGATGGCCTCTTGGGCAAATTTCCTTATTTCTCCCAGGCTTCCTTAGATCCTTTCTGGAAACACAGGTGGTTATGAAGGTAGTAAATAAATGACCATAAGCAGACAGATTATTTCCCTCCATGATCCCTTGGTACTTTAAACCATGTCGTTTTAGCCCATTTGGTATTATTCTATCCTTGTCTTTCTCCCTGTGGAGCCCCTTTTTTTCAGGTGTATGAAAATACCAGGCTCATAGTTGATGTGTCTAAGTGCTTAGCTACTGAATGGATGAACCCTGATCTTAATATGGGGTAGTTTACACAAATGTGGGTTTTAGTGAGTGCTCTTCTGTTGGGTGAATCCACAGGCAGGGTTCCTTCAGCTGTGGTGACATTGTTAGCATGACCGCCCCTCTCTGTACCGATGAGGCTCGGGAGAGCCTGGTAGAGCCAGCCACAGCCTCAGTCATGCACAGCAACAGCCACCCGCTGTCAGGCCACGGGCTCAGTTCTTTACTTGGGCCACGTTACTTAATCCACAGAGCAACCTACAGGTGGGTGTTCTTACCCCCATTTTACTTATGAGGAAAATGAGGCTTGGAGAGGCTTAGGTAAGTCACCCAAGGTCACTGGGTAGAAGGTGGCAAAGCTTTCCCTTTGCTGCACAGATTGAGTAAGAACTGGTTCCAGGCAGTAAGGAAGTCAGCCATGTAAAATATTAACTGTAATAATGTCGGGCAGCAGGGCTAAGTGCTAAGTGTTCATTAGAACCACCAGCCATGCTGAGAGCACAGGGGAAGAAACCTGTGATTCCACGCGGGGCAGGTGGACAGGCAGCACCTAGATGCCATAGAAGCTTTGACCCTGAGCTCAGACTTCTGGTAGGAAAGGTGTGGGGGCTCTAAGCCCTTCTGACAGGCACAAAGGTGCTCGTGGAAATTCAGGAGAGAGGTTTTTCATGAAACTGGTTCAGGATCAAGCACCTTGGGCCAGTGCCATGTATTCATTTATTTATTTACCGAAACAAGCTGGAATAATATTTTTTAAATATTAACTTTTTTTTCCCCTTTCCTGGTATATTTCCCCTTGGAGGCAAAAGACTGGTCTGGGGAAGGGTTGGGGGAGGCACTGTGAAGAAGGCATAAAGAGCCCACAGGCCTCTTCCTGGCATTGCTTCCCAAAACTTGAGTCTTTAAGGGAATGGAGAGGCTTGGGGTATACCCAAAATGTCTGGGGAATATTGAAGATAAAAGATCCCTCCAATCTAGTTGGGTTTGGGGAGGCAGAGGGGCATGTTAATAAGAGTCGAGGTAGGATGGTCTCAGAATGAGGGGCTGGCATGGGGAGGGGAAAGCTTTGGGCAGGTCCTCTGAAAGGAGGTACTCTACCTCCTTCACTGTCAGAGCCCTGGAGGAAACAAGGAGACCCCATGAGGGAGAGGCTGCAGACATGAAGCCTCAGACAGACTCTATTCCAGGCTAGTATGGAGGCAACAGAAGGGACCCATGTCCTGGTGCAGCATGCAAGTGGTGGAGAGCCCCACAGACCTCGGGCAGCGTTCAAATGGGAACAAGGCCTGTGGCGACTGCTGCCTGAGGACCAACCAGGACACTGGGACAGTAGACCAGTGAAATAGGAACCAGTTCCCATGCTTCTACTTCAAGGCCTGGCATGATGCAATTCACTGCAATTTAGCCACAATCCCAGGAAAATGGAGAGGGAAACTCCAAATTGGCAGAGTTTTGGTTTCTGTCGCCCTGCAAGGACAGTAGCTCGAAATTAAAATGAAGTTGAGTTATAGAGTCATAATCTGCAGAAAATATTTATTGAGCCTCCAAGATTCCAGGCACCAGGGGTGGGGGAGGAAAGAAATGAGTAAAATAAGGATCTGTCAGTGGTCCCTTTGTCTACATTCCTGAAATAGAAGTGATGCCAGGGCCTGACTTCCATACATAGTCCTCTAGTGCCTGCAGTGGTAACCACTGATGCTTATTAAGCCGTTACTTTGTCCAAAACTTGCACAAAGGGTGCTCTTTGTCCCATTTAAAACAGGTTACTGGGGCTAAGGGATATTAAGCAGTCCTTGCAAGACCACACAGCTAGTAATTTTCGTAAAACCACACAGCCAGTAAAGTGGCTAAGTTGGGATTCAAACCTAGCTGGATGTGATAGGTTGAATTGCGCCCCCCTGAAAAGATGTTGGGGTCCTAACTTCCAGTACCTGTGAATGTGACCTTATTTGGGGAGAGGGTCTTTAAAGAGGTAACTAATCTTAGGTGAGGTTATTAGGGTGGGCCAGATCCAATATGACTATGTCCTTATAAAAGAGGGACAGTTAGGCAGAGACAAATACACACAGAGGAACTGCCATCTAAAAATGGAGGCAGAGAACGAGGTGATGCATCTACGAACCAAGGAACACCAAAGATCGCCAGCAAACCACCAGGAGCTAAGAGAGAGAGATGCAGCTAATTCTTCCTCGTAGGCCTGAGAAGGAACTAATTTTGCCAACACTCTGATCTTGGACTCCTAGCCTCCACAACTGTGAGACAATAGATTTCTGATATTTAAAGTTTTTTTTTTTTAACGTTTTTATTTTATTTTTGAGACAGAGAGAGACAGAGCATGAACGGGGGAGGGTCAGAGAGAGGGAGACACAGAATCCGAAACAGGCTCCAGGCTCTGAGCTGTCAGCACAGAGCCCCGACGCGGGGCTTGAACGCACGAACTGAGAGATCATGACCTGAGCCGAAGTCGGCCGCTTAACCGACTGAGCCACCCAGGCGCCCCTAGATTTCTAATATTTAAACCACTAAGTTTGGGGTAGTTTGTTACAGACACTAATGCAGTGGATGACTCAAGAGCCTGAGACCAAGTTATATAAGCCATTTTGCTAAACCCTAAGCCACTGTTACAGCTGGAGTCCACAGAGCAGGATCTCTCTTTTCTCTCTGCTCTGTCAATGCCTCTTCATCTCCTTCCATCTCCTTAGCACTATTTTCTACATACTTCTTAACTGAAGTCATCCCTACTTTTCTTATTGAAGACCTGACTTGAGTACCCTATAATTCTATATTTCTATGTCACTAGGAATTCCAGAAACATGCCTTGGCCTCTCAGACTTCCAGAGGGTGGAAGTCTGACATGCCCTCCACTGGAGGCCAGTGACCACCTGGAAATCTTAATTACCCTTCAAGAGTGAGTTCTTCCAGTTCACTTTCATGACACCCTCCCTCAGCCAGATTTACTGTCTCCCTCCCTCTAACACCAACAGCATGAGAACATTTCCACATGGAATCATCTTTGGTAATGGGCATGGCTGTCTTCTTAAGTACCTTGAATGCTTCTGGAAGGCCCAGGAGTAGCAGGTGTTTTAAGCCTTCCTACATTTCAAGACACCTGAATTTCTAGACTTCAACTGGAGTTCCTCATCCCTTCTTTCTTTTCTGGTTTCTCAAATTCACCTTCCCAGGAAAGAGAAACACCTTCAAATGACTCTGTACTTGGCATGTATCTGTCCTGTTAACAGATTTTCAATCCAGGCAAGGAAAGTTTATTCCACTTCCTTCCTATCCCCTTCCTGTATTTTAACAAGGTTTTGTCATCTCCTTGAGCTAGCCTCAGCAGAGATGGTTTGGCTGGGTGAGCATTTTATTTTGGCATTTGAGGATGGTGTTGGTTGGAGCCTTCTGTCTGTATACTGTAAAGAACACAAACAGAACAAAAACGTTCAGTTTGAGGCCATGGATCCTGTCCAGTTCCAGATTAAGGCAGAGGCCCTTCTCGTCCAGGATCGAGTGCTGGCTGGCCTCCAAGAGCAGAGAAGTGGGGAGCAAGGCCGACAGTGGCTGCTGCTGCCCAGTGGGCCACCTGCCCTTGACAGCCACAGGAGTTTGGAGAAACTGCTAGCCTGGCCCTTTGCAGGGGATGTGCTGAGAACTCTCTTCTCCTTTTTGGGAAAAACAAACCAACCTCCTGTGAGGAAACCTCAATCTGTGGATAGATTTTCCTTGAGAAGAATCCGTTCTGACTTATGTGTCTCCGTGGTGGCTTTCTGCCTCAGGCTTTGAAAATTAAGGCCACTTAACGGGTTGCTTCTCTGAAGAGTCTCACAGCTCCGAAGTTTACAAGAGTTGACCCAAGAAGCCTGTGCTTGCCTAACCGAGGGGAAAGGTGGTAAATACTCCTTTTTTTAATATTTATTTTTAATTGAATTATAATTGACATATAATATTGTATGAGTTCCACATATGCCACATAGGGATTTGATATTTTTATCTATTACAAAATGATCACCTCAATAGGTCTAGTTATTGTCTGTCACCATAAATATTATTAACTATATCCCTTGTGCTGCACTAAATGTTCCTTTCTTATCTACCAACACATCCCAGCAGGTCTACAGGCACAATTTATAATCTAGCAAATATTTAAGGAACTTGTATAGTATGTTTAAAGCTTGGGGCTAGCTTTGAGGTAGGGAGACTTATTTCTTCCCTGCTTTTTAAATCCTCTACCAGACAGGTAATACTCTAAGCTGAAATAGTCTATATTACAACAAGACCCTAGAGCACAGTGACTTTTGCAAGATACAGCTTCATGTACTAGTAGAGAGGTAGATGGCTGATAGGGTGGCCCTGCCACATTCATTGTATTTATTCCTTCTTAGAATCCCACCCAAACCTCTGTATTCCAGTCAAGGGGAAGAGAGAAAACAAAGTGATCACCTCATGTTCCACTCACCTCCCACTTGCCAAAAATTGGTAACATGGCCACCTCTAGTTGTAAGGGATATTGAGAAATGTAGTCTCCAGTGGCACACCTATGTATTTAGCTAAGAATTACAAATTCCTTTATTAAAGAAAAATATTGATGGACACGTACCAGTCTCTGCCAACCTTTCTTTCATTTATTTACCCAATCGACAATTATTTATTGAGTGCCAGCATATTATTTGGCATTGTTTTTATACAGTTGCTTATGATTCACTGGTGTGTACATAAACCTATGCTCAGCTGGAAAGTCATACTGTGCTGTGTTCCCTAGTAAGGAGTTCAAACACTGGATCTTCAGGGAAGGAAAGACTCATCCTGACTAGAGAAATTCATCTATTTTTTCAGTATACTTATTGAGCACTGTGGTAGGAAGCTTGTAAGATGGTCCCAGTGATTTCTACCTCCTGGTATTCACGTCCTCGTGCAATCCCCTCCCATTGTATATGGACTGAACCTAGTGGCTTGCTTCTAAAAGACAAAAATATACCAAAAGTGATGGAATGTCAGTTCTGAGTTTAGGGTACAAGAAGACGTTGACTTCTCCATCTTGCTTGAATGTTCCCGCTCTCTGTCTCTGTCTGTTTCTGTCTCTGTCTCTCTCCCTCTGAGCCCTTATTCTGGGAGAATCCAGCTGCCATGTTTTGAGTAACTCTAAGGAGAATCTCATGTGGCAAGGGAATAATATCCTTAGTCAACGGCCAACAAGGCCCTAAAGCTTGCCGACAGCCATGTGATTGAGCTTGGAAGTCAACTTTCTGAGGCCTGCCAACAGCCTCATGAGTGAACTTGGAAGCAGATTCTCCTGCAGTTGACCCTTGAGATGACTGAGCCTGACTGACAGCTTCACTGCTGTCCTGTGAGAGACCCTGAGTTACAGTCATCCAACTAAGTGGCACCTGCACCTGATTTCCTGACCACAGAAACTGTGAGATAGTAAATATTGTTTTCAGCTGATAAATTTTGAGGTCATTTGTTATGCAGCAATAGATAGCCAATACAAGTACCTACTATTTTCAGGTACTGTGCTAGGCCATAAGAATGTGAAAAATGAGGGATGCCTGGTCACTGTGTTTGGGGAGAGGAGACAGGTGTATGTGCAAATATGGTACTAACAACACACGGTGGTAAGGGCAACGATGGAGATGTGCTCAGCGTGAGATAGGAGAGAAGAAGGGCACCTTATCCAGGACAGAAAAGGGGAGGGGAAGGTCATCCTGGGGAAGGCTATACTTGGGGAGGGGCCATTCTATGGAGAGGGGCCATGGGCAATGCCTGGAGGGGAAATGGTGTGGTGTCTTCACAAGAACCAAGCATGATAGTTTGTGTGCCAAGCAAGAGGTGAAGAAAGGCGAGGTTAGAGAAGTGACTAGAGACTAGCCCAGTCTTGTGCCAGTCATTTATTTTAAAGTAGTCAACATTATGAAATCCTGCTTTGCGTGAAATGATGTAAAAACAAAAGAGTTAATAAAAGAGCTAGCATGTTCTTCTCAACATTCCAACACCTGAATTTTAAGAAGCCAGCTTCAATTATCTAGAGAACACAGGCAAGTGTAATTTGCTTCATTGTTTTTGCTCATAAAATTGAGCAGAGAACTGTTGACATGTGTCCATGGAATAATTGTGGTTCTTATTGAAAAACTGGCTCAGGTGATGTTTGATGCTTTTACAAGTGGGAAATTGACCTTTCCAGCTGGAGGACTTTATGAATCTGTAGTCTGAACATCTGAGGGGAGATTTGGGAAGCAATGTATGCTTTTTGTGTGGTTGATTGTTTTCCTCCTTTTCCCTCTGTCCCTTTCTCCTTCTTTCATTCCTTCTTTTGTCCTTCCTTTCTCCCTCTCACTGCCTTCCTATCTCTTTCAATTCTTCAGAATGTTAAAGGTTTCATAATATGTCTAAACTCTCAGTATCAGCTCTGCAAGGGATGAAAAGGAAACAAAAGCACTCCTCTTTCCCCTGCCTGGAGGATTAGCTCTAAAGATTCTTAACTGGTTCTTGGAAGGTTCTCTGGATCACAACTGAACATGAGTGAGTCCAATGATTCAGCAGATAACAAGTTTATTTGAACCAAGACGGTTATAAAACTAGACTTGTGGATAATGGTTGCTCTAGAATAGGAAGAAATAAAAACGATATATAAATTAACTTTAAAATTGAAATGTTTTATAATACCATTTCAGAATGATTTTCTGTATCTGGAATCCTTTACTTACATGAAATAGCGGTTAGGGGCATCCTTGCATCTGGATTGTAAGTGCCTTGAATCTAGAGTCCCCCTTGTGCCCACAGGGACAGGGGTTTTGAGTAGATACCTAGAAATAAATCATCACCTGATCTGTTGGGTTTGGCTGGAGGTTGCCTCCCTCCCTTCCAGACTGATTTCATCAGGCACCGTTCTCATATCATGAAGTTATTTCTTCCTCTGATCCCTGTAGATGAGTGCTTTGTGCCTCTGTTAACTACCTACAGGAATGATAGTATTATCCTCTGTTAATTACCTACAGGAATGAAGTATTATCAAAAAGGCAAAGGCATCAACCAATCAGAATGGACATGGTGCTGGGTCAGCACCCTGGAATCTCTCTTTTATGCCATCACCCTCTTCTGGGGGTTCCAGAAGAGGGACCTGGTGGCAAGAGGCTCTCGGGTTCTCAGGTTCCTTGAGGCTCAGACTCATACACACTAAATAATTGTTTCAATGTCTGTCTTTCCCACCAGACTGTGGGCACATAGAAGGTATGGGCTCTGTCTCTCTCATCTTTGCCTCTCTACTATGTAAGACACCGTCGAGCCATAGTGGGTGCTTAGTAAATATTTGTTGGGCAAAATTGAAATACACCTTTTTATTCAGACATTCAGTAATTATTGAGGCACTGCCTTGACTTAGACACTGCACCATGCACTTTGGAAAATGTAAAGAGAAAAAAGAGTTGGCTTTTTACCTTTGACAAGTTTTCAGTCTAGTTACTAGACTCTGTTAGAAATTGTCTTACTCCTCTTATTCATCCCAGTGCCCAAGACAATGCTTGGCATATAACACGCACTCGGTAAACACTTGTTGATTAACTGTAACTTCACATGTCCAAGCCAAAGGAATTGCTTCAGACTGGTCACTCATCATCCATCCCGCCAAGTCTGCCAGTCCAGCAAACTCGGTCCTGCAGAATTACTCCCAGTGATCCAGCAAACTATATGGTCAGCCAGGAACAAAAGCCACTAGGAAAATAACGCATCACTTTTCATCTGGGTGTTTCAAAAGGCACTGAGTTATTAAAATAAGGTCACAGCTGTCCCAATCAAATCATCTTTTCAAAGGAATTACAGGGTTGTGAGCCAACAGTGACCACATACACCTTTGCAGTCCTCAGAACCAGTGTTCTCGACACTGAAAGCAAAATCAAGTAAACAAGGTTGTGTTGTGGACTTCCTTGACCCAGACTTTCAGGAAGGAGCTGACACACTGCCCAGACTCGCGCTCACCCACATAGCTCTGAAGCCAAACAAACTGGAGAAGCTCGTGTTTTCCCAGCTGTATGATGCACTCACTTCACCAAATGATTGGCCAGAAAACAAGGAAAAGAAAAAAAGTACGTCTAGTTCAGACCAGGCAAAGAAAGAATTGCTTCAGCTGGGCTTTGTTTTTTCTCTTCATGAGGTAGCAAGAAATATAAAAATGGAGGAGGTTAGATCTCTGATTTTTAATTACTAAAAAAGACACAAATACTTTTTTTTTCTTTTAAAGATCTGATCATGGCATTACTTAGCTTGAAGACTTCAGTGACTTTATAGCCTTCAAACCCTTTGGTGACCCCTTAGGTCTTTAACAACTTGTTTAAAACAACCTTTCTAGCCACATCTGCCCCATTTCCTCCCACTCAAAGCTGTTCTTGAGCTTTGCCAGGTTCCCATTGTCTTAAATACCTTGTGTGCTTTTTCATCCACGTGCTTTTGTTCATGCTGCTCCTTCTGCTTGCTAATACCCTTCCCTGCCTTGATCTCCAGGGAAACTCTAAGTCATCTTTCAAAACAAGGTGTTTTTCACTGTAACTCACCACTCATCCCAATAACAGAATTAGCAGCTCTTTCATCTGGGTTCACCTAGGACTATTTTGTGTGACCTCTTATTGACTTATTCCTCGTATTGTTTATTCATTCATTCAACATTCATTGATGTTCTACTTGGCACTGGGTACTCTCTAGGCAGTGGGGATCCAGTTATGAAAGCCCCTAACTAGTGGCTTTCAATAAATCAATTGTTGCACATCGGAATTATAAGTTCTTTGCAAAGGTAAACACAGGGTGCTCTCGGAGATCAGAGAAGGGTCACGTACCCCAGTGTGATTGGTGGGAGAAGATCTGGAAGGCTTCTTGGAGGAGGGGGCACCTGAAGAGCCTAAATGACAAGGAGTTTTTATATTTATCCCCTCATTTTTGGGAGAGCACTCCTTGAGGTAAGAGATCAATCACATATCATATTAAATCAGGTCATTTATTCCACACATGTTTACTGAGCTTTCTGCTGGGAGACAAATGCTCCCAAGTGAAAGCAGCTAGGGGGACTAGGAGTTGACAGGCAGAGAAGTGGATGAGGGAAAGAGAGGAAATCAAGGATGATTCTCAGGTTTCTAGTTTAAGCAAATGAGTGGATAGTAGATCAGGGCTGCCACGTGCAAGTGCGCAGGTTGTAGACTCATGGTGAGTGAGGCAACATAGAAGGAGGAGCAAATTCGGAGGAAGAGTCTTATTCTTCATACCATAGTAACCAACCCTTGATATATAATGTTGGCATGGGCTGGAATTGGAGAATTATTTTGTTTTCTTGAAAGCAGGTCTTCCTTCTTGTGTAGACTGGAAAAGAAACTTTCCTGTTATACTCACTCGACTCCTTATTTTCAGATATCAAGAGTCCCGGCTGTCAATCAATCAGATTATTTCCCACTTCCCTTCTGTCTTTAGATCATTTTGACACCCTACCAGAAGAAATGTTAGGATTTCTGTCTTACGTGAAGCTCGGAAATTAGGTGTGAAACTGGATGATTTATTCAATTATTAGTATTATTAACCAATAGATGGGGTTAATTAACAACATCTATCATTATTATTAACCAAAAGTTAGCTTTAGTTATTAGAATTGATTCAAGCCACAATTTGATCATCTCACCACAGTGGCAATGCCATGTTAACTTAAAGCTTTGTTTTCTTTTATCTCATTTTGCCTTTTACATAGTGGAAGAAATCGAAGCAGGAGTTTTGATCACCCAAGGTTCTCTACCAAAATAAATAATCTCTTCAAAAAATATTTCAATGCATTCTTAGTATACACTAAGTAATTCCCTCCAGAGAAGCTGGACTCTAAGATATCCATTGGGTTACCATTTGACTTCCTGTTACATTTAGAGAGAAGCATAACTCTTTTAATAAATGTACTACTTTAAAGTGTATCCAGACCTTTCTGTACAGTCAGCTCTTCATTATTCTTGATTGCTATTCTTTGCCTTTTCCATCTCTTTCTAGAAATACTGAGCCCAACATATGTAGATGAACTATTATAATAGATTCCAAACACCTGTCTTTGGTGATTAAATGGGAGAGAGACAGGAGGTAAAGCTTACCTTTGCATTATCTATGTGTAAAAGTGTGCCAGGTACATGTATAATGGCAAGGCAGTGATCGTAATTAGCCTTTGTAAAAAGAACAAATGGTTGTAGAAAAACTATTTCCACAATATCATTCTTAATTACTTGTAATCTTTAATCTATTCATGAAAACAGATCCGCTAAGGCAATGATCTTTACATTTCTGTCATACCCCCACCAAATTTTGAAAACCATATACCCCTCATCCATTTTTAAAGTAAACACCTAATAAATTTAAATAGTTGCAAAGGATGTGACTTCTGACATATTTTAAATATTGCCATTTAAAAATAAAGCTCTTACATTACTCTCTTAAGTGTTTCCCAAGGAATTCGAAATACCACAGCAATTTGACACCTACCACCACGATTAGATATTCCATCACCACCTAGTTAAAAGTACTTGAACAAGCTTTTCTTTAATCAACATTTTCACCATGTTTACCATGGTTACACCATGGTTACTCCATTCTACTTCTCTAACAGAATTTTTAAATAATATTTTGATGCTTGAAAGTATTTTATTGGTCATTCTGCTGTACTTCCTTACCTACCTGCCTACCTACACACACACACACACACACACACACACACACACACACGTAAGTTAGAGGCTCAAAGTGTTGTAAGTTTTTTTTCTGCATTTAGTTATCATTAGCACAGAATTAGTCAAAACAACAGACAAATATTATCTATTTTGCTGCATAATTATGAAACATAAAAAGTAAATGTTTATTGGAATTGCATTCCTTAATAAGCTGAGTAGCTCCTTTCCTTGACTGTTTCTTGTATCTGTGGGTGAGGTATTTATTGCTGAGGGAGAGAGGGTGCAGGATCCATTCTGTTCCCACTTATAAATTTTACAGACGCAGGCATTGAGAAGTGGTGTTCACATAAATAAGTAGGTGAAAATGGATTGAATGGCATTGCCACTCAAGTCTGTACTATTTCAGGGGTGCAAAACAAAGATCACATAGTCATTTAGCATTGAAATAACTTTTAATGATCTGTCAGCTGACAATTCAATTAGGATGCCCTTTAATTCTATTGAAAACAGAGAATTGGGAACCACATGGCTTGCACAAGGATTTATTACCCAGCCATTAGAATCCAGTTAAACACCAGTATTTGGAATTGTCCCTCTGTGGCACAGAGGTTTCTACACTTTAACGCAACACACCGGGGTAATTTATGGTCAAGTAGGAGATGTGCCTTTCTTTCGTAAGCTGGGAGGATGGATGTGGTGAAAAGACAGAGAGGCGAGCCATAATGAGAACTCCTTAGACACCTTAATTTTTAGAAAGAGTACTAATGGCAAATGAGCATCTGAAATGGATTCTTTAAAAATACCCCTTTACACACATCTTTTGGAAAGCCCTCAAATGGGATACCAACTTGAAACCACTGTTATAATGATCTCTACCAGGTACCACCGTTTGTTCACTTGGCAATAGAGCCTTTTCTCAGAACACTTCATATCTGAAGAACCAATGGTTCTTGGAATACTCTCTGGGAAATGATACCTTAGAGGTTCATTTAATAAATCGTAATTTATTCCCCAATTAGATAATAAAATCTAAAGCTGTGAGTTGGAGGTTGTTGCAGATGTCAGAGAACAGATATGATGCTGATGGTGATGACGATGGTGATGATGATGCTGACGATGATGATGGCGGCAGCTGTGGTGTTGGTGGTGATAGCTATTGTTCTTTAATTGTGTTTGCTTCACATAGCCCAAACCCCAACAAACACTGGTAAATATCAGTAAGGAGGTATTTGTCTCACACAAAAATAATTTCTGGGCAGGTAGCCATGGACTAAAATAGTGGCTCAACAGTGTCATCAAGCACCCAGTTCTTTCTGTCTTGCCACCCCATAATCATT